TACTAAACAGTTTATTTTTTATTTTTTTGGGGTCTCATCGAAGTCCTTTAAGTCAAGGTCAGTGCCTCTACCCCGATATCAACACCAATTCCTAAATTGATCAATGTATTTCTTTTGTGTGGAGAATTTCACAGATTCATCACAGAAATAAAAATAAAAAAATCCCCTTTAAAAATATTATCAATGATAGTAATAATCCTTTTAACAACCTCAATGTCCTATAAACTATCCTGTTAACATTGTAAACTAATTTAAAGTTATTTATGACATTTGCAGTTGGAAAGTCATTTAATTATGATTTAATACTGCCGTGGCAGATATTGCTACATTGCATGTGGACTTTAACAAACCGAGGCATCATCCTGGTGGACAGAGCTACTAACAAACAAAGACTTATTCTTGTGTTCATAAATTGGATTGCATGGTCAATATCCATGATGCGTCAGACATATCCATTTAAACGGTGACTCGTGCTCACTCGATATCGGAACAACCTCCTAAAATTACCAGATGGTCACGTGAACTCCCATCCACCTCGGCAATAAATTCCAGTTTCACACATGAACGAGGCCATAAATTCAGGATGATTTACATTACTCTATGAAGAGACATAAACCATTTTAAAAAAAAAATGTAGTTAGCTCAATGGACTGAAAGCATTTGTTAAATATCGTTGATAAACAGGGGTACCGGTGACACGCGGTGACACGCGCAATGCTCACACATCTAGATAGAGTTTCTTGATTTCTTGTCAGTTTATGCTCTGGCAATGCTCTGTACTCGCCACCAATTAACATGCATTTCATATTTTGTATTAAAAAAAAAAAATTAAAAAAATAAAATAAAATTCAAGTTCCATTCAACTCCGTTCACCTACACAGAGCTGATCCGTAAATTTGTTATTTCTATTATACAGTCCATATGTGCGTAATTTCCTTATTCAAGGTAAATTATCAGATAAAAATAATTAAGAGTCTCATAAAGATACCGATGCATCTCAAATTTTGAGGGGATTTAAAAAAAAACACAAAAAAAACGTTTGGATTGTTTCGGTATTTAGCAGCAGCACGGTGGCTTCAGAGAGGGAATGGGAGGCGTCGATGAATGATCACAAGTTGAAAGAAATCATCACTAAAACATTGTTTGCTAAGTGATAACAAGACGGTCTACTTCATCCGCGGCCGGCATCATACTTTGCTCTCGTCTTCGTCTGGCCCGGACCGCTTCCGGGAGTCGCCCCTGCTGTCTTTCTTGATGCTTCTGTCCCCGCTGCCCCCACGTTCCCTGTCCAGCTTCCGGCCCCCGACGAAACCGCCCACCACCATGCCGCCGACGCCCACCTCGACGTCTCTCTCCACCAGCACCGCCCCGCCCGCGGGTGTGATGGTGACTGCGTTGGCCAGGTGGTGGGCGTTGGGCAGGCTGCCCTGCGAGCTGATGGAGTTGGCCGGCTTGGGCTTAGGCTGGGGCTTGAGGCACTGGACCAGGTTGACGATCTCGCCCTGGATGTTGGCGAGCGCCTGCACGACGTTGCAGAGGGCCTTCTGGTTCTCCGCCATCAGGCGCCGGATGAACTCCACGTCGTCTTGCAGACGATTGGTCTCCTTGTGGTTGGCCTGGAGCTGCTGTAGGCGCATGTCGAGTAACTTTTGGGACCTGTCGGTGTCATCAATAAAAACTGGGTCAAATGTCTGGCACCTAACTGATCAACTACATCCTAATTTTTAAACTTAAATGAGTTCCGATCATTGGATAATAAATTAATTTAGAAATCAATGTTTTTAGTTGATGACGTCAACAATATTATATTAGAACTTGTTTATCTATGAATATGTCAAATACTAAATGGTAATATTGCAATAGTAAAGGATCCTATTTTAAGTCTAAGTCTAAATGATTATTTTGCAATACATTATTATATTACAATACTAAATGATTATATTGCATTACTAAATGATTTTATAGCAATAATAAATAATTATATAATGCAATACTTGACGATATTGAAAAATATAATGTCTAGTACTTTGTTACAGATCATCTTAGATCAAAATGACGAATAAATTATTAAATATGCTCTGCAACAATTAACAAACTAAAACTGTCTTACTATTTTTAAATATAGTCGTTTTGTTCTAAAGAGATACGCTTTAGGAATTGCTACAGACGCATCATTCCTTTGTATTGCAACTAGCTGAGGTATCTTACCTTTATATTGCCTCTAGCTCAGGTATCTTACCTTTGTATTGCAACTAGCTGAGGTATCTTACCTTTATATTGCATCTAGCTCAGGTATCTTACCTTTATATTGCATCTAGCTCAGGTATCTTACCTTGGTATTGCATCAAAGTCAGGTATCTTACCTTTGTATTGCATCTAGCTGAGGTATGGCTAAGGTTGTTGCTATTGGAAGGTTGGATGAGGACGCCCTCCTGTTATGAGATCTGGAGCCGCCCCTCCTTTTGTTGGAGCGGTAATCTGAGGAGGTTTTCAGTTAGCCGTTTAATACATCGTCATCTCCTTAGTTTTTTAATGAGATCATTCTTTAAAAAAAAACCACAGCAACGCGAACATATGAAATATGCACAATGGACGATGTAAGTGTAAGAATGTCGCAATCAACGAGAATGGAAAGGATGTAAAGTTATATATTTTTATTGATAAATGGCATAGACTAAAATAATACAAGAGCTAGAAATTTAGACATGTTATCGCATCTAGACCTCTTCTAAAAGAGAAAGAGAAGAAAAGAATGAACCTTTGGGAACGGGATGTAAAATTGAAGACAATCGCATTAAATGACGCCACATTTTTGTACTTCTTTATCATTTCATCTCTTGATGCTCAAATATTTCTTCTATAACGACCCCCTCCCCCACCCCCCCCTCCCCCGACTTTACAATCAGATGTTTATCGCATGAACTTTCAGAGTTTCAGAAAAAAAATTATGATTAAATTAAGCTCACCAACTTGTCAAACTGCCAAACATACATTCCTTATAGTTTTGAAGTTAAAGAAGCATTTATCTCCAGAAAAACACATTGGAATAAATACCAATATCATAATAAGGGTCTCGTGAACGGTAGTTTTTCTCTCAATAATTCAACCATTTCGTTAGCACACGTTACTTTTCTGTTCATATATTATTATATAGGGATCGCATCTAATTTCAATGAACACTGAGGTACTCATGTAGAAAAAAAAATCTAGGGAATTCTAATTAGTTCATGTATAATAATACCTTTCCATTCCAATCTTTAAACAACATTAAAACGATTTTTAGATTCCAAATCAAGATCTGGTCTGCAGTTAATTTTGTTTTACTTTAAAGGTATGAGGAAATACGACATGTTTAAAATAAGACAATTAGCTAAATAAACATGCAGATTCACGATTCGGGAATTCGGCGCAAACATTGCTTTAATAAGAGCTTGAGAACCCTTTACACCAGAGGTTCTCAAAATTCCTAATACCACGACCCTTTAATACAGTTCCTCGTGTTGTGGTGACCCCCAACCATAAAATCGTCGCTACTTCATAACTATGAGTTTTCCGGTGGTCTTATGCGGCCCTGTTTTATGGGTCGTTCGAGCCCAAAGGGGTCACGACGCACATGTTGAGAACCGCTGCTTTTACACGAAAGTCACCCCCCCCCCCCACACAAAAAAAAAACTTACATTTTTTTTGTAATATGAATATGTTTAGAAGTTCCGACTGAAAATTCCAAATTTTCTTCAACCTACTTTGACGTTGTTGTATTTATCAGAGTCAAAGTAATTAACGTATCTTTCCGCTTAGCTGTTCAGTTATACCGGTATACAAACATGCAGGGTCATTGTGTGATGGACTTTTGGCCACACACACACACACACACACACACCGAATCACGCCTACTCGTCTACACCATGCAGTCTCCCATCTGATGGTCTATGGGCTAACAGACACCGAACCACGCCTACTGGCCTACACCATGCGGTCCTCCATACCAGGAATGTACTCACGAGACTTGATATCATCCTCTTCTTCTGGAATAGGGGGCGTGGCGAACGGTATCCTGCTTGGCGTTTCCGGAATCGGTGGAGGAGGTCCGTCTGGGATCGTCGGGTCCCAAATTTCCACTTCCTCTGCCCTGAGGTTGGCGTGACCTTCTTTTGCTGACCGGAAATCAAGCGAAAAAGTTTGAAACTGCCCTAACCAATGTTTAAAAGCTATACAGACTAAATAAAGACGTTTCGATAAATGCAAGGTCCTATCATGTCGACCAGTCGAATGAAACCATTTTATAATAAATTGTGAGGCTCACATGTGAGGTAGATGTTTGAGTAAAATTGACAAGTCGAATCAGGACAAGTAAGAAGATGTTTAGACATTATTATTATTCAGATACATTTACCTTTAAATTTCATACATGAAATGAAAATAATAATTCTCAAAACTTTTATTAAAGTAAACGATTTCAAAATGTCGGTGTATACATTTCTAACTTGAAACTTATCCCTTGTTTGCTTAACCATTGTTTGCGAATGGCACTTGGCTGAATAAACCATTTGGTCAAGAATAATTAAAGTGTACGAACATTTGTGTTCAATAATAACGCATGATCTTTATTTTAATCACATAACGTTTAATCTACACTCGCCCTCTACCGTGTAAGCAGTATTCTCCTTAAACAGTTTTATGAACTTTTTAAATGAAGCATGTGATGATTGTTTTAACGCTCATAAAATTAGTTTGCTGAAATTCATTACTTTGAATCAAAAACAATTATATAATGAAATATTTTAGTCATAACGTGTAGACGTAGATAATTGTTTTACTGTGTGGATTAAAAATTAAAAAAAATAATAATAAACTGGAGTTTATCAAAACGTAACATTTAGACGGCCAACTGACTCACCAAACGTAACATTTAGACGGCCAACTGACTCACCAAACGTAACATTTAGACGGCCAACTGACTCACCAAACGTAACATTTGGACGGCCAACTGACTCACCTATCTCCTTTTCGTCCTTCGCTCTCTCTAATTTAAAGAGATATCTCTTCACCAGCCGGTGCATGATGTCGGAGTAGGACGTCTCGTCTGGCTTTAACTCTAGGTTCTTACAGACGGTTTCTCGACGTTTCTGCAAAAACGGACAGCACAAACAACTCAAATGTCAGGTGGCATACTGTGATTTTCTTGAGTGAATTTGTTCATGAAACGTTCCCTTCTAGTCGCATACCACTAAAGTATAACGTCTTTGGCGGTGATTCTATATTTCCTATATCCAGGTATATCAATAAAGTTGTAACTTTGTCTTTATATCAACTTATTTCAATTTTGATCTCTGCATAAATGTGCAACCAGATCCCGTATATCCACAGAGCAGAACTAATGTATCTCCTGTTATCTGTCCCCAGATCAGTGGTTCTCAACATTCCTAATGCCGCGACCCTTTCATACAGTTCCTAATGTTGTGGTGACCCCCAACCATAATATTATTTTCTTTGCTACTTCATAGCTGTAGAATAAATATGTTTTCAAGTGGTATTAGGCGATCCCTGTGTCGATCCCGATTTACATAGTTGTTATATAACATGACATCATAGTTGTTATATAACATGACATCATAGTTTTTATATAACATGGCATCATAGTTTTTATATAACATGGCATCATAGTTTTTGTATAATATGGCATCATAGTTAATAGATAACATGGCATCATCTCTTGGTTGTAACTGTATCATGATAATCACCATTTTGTTTTACTTATATCATATTATATTTTCTTAGTTGTAATTACTTTACAAAATCATCTCATGTATACTTGATGTCCAGGCTACAATGTCTGATGGTTGACATCATATTCTGGTGACAATTTCTGATGGTTGACCTGGTATTCTGGTGGCAATGTCTGCCCACTGGGTAGATGTTTCCACGGCGCCACGGTTTTCACAATGTAGCGCCTATGAAACACCTCTCCAGTCTGGCAAACTTGATGTACAATGTGTATGAAGCACCTCTCCAGTCTGACAGACTTGATGTACATTGTGTATGAAGCACCTCTCCAGTCTGACAGACTTGATGTACAATGTGTATGAAACACCTCTCCAGTCTGGCAAACTTGATGTACAATGTGTATGAAGCACCTCTCCAGTCTGACAGACTTGATGTACATTGTGTATGAAGCACCTCTCCAGTCTGGCAAACTTGATGTACAATGTGTATGAAGCACCTCTCCAGCCTGACAGACTTGATGTACATTGTGTATGAAGCACCTCTCCAGTCTGGCAAACTTGATGTACATTGTGTATGAAGCACCTCTCCAGTCTGACAGACTTGATGTACATTGTGTATGAAGCACCTCTCCAGTCTGGCAAACTTGATGTACATTGTGTATGAAGCACCTCTCCAGTCTGGCAAACTTGATGTACATTGTGTATGAAGCACCTCTCCAGTCTGACAGACTTGATGTACAATGTGTATGAAACACCTCTCCAGTCTGGCAAACTTGATGTACATTGTGTATGAAGCACCTCTCCAGCCTGACAGACTTGATGTACATTGTGTATGAAGCACCTCTCCAGCCTGACAGACTTGATGTACATTGTGTATGAAGCACCTCTCCAGTCTGGCAAGCTTGATGTACACTGTGTAGCCTAGGAAACCCTACCCCAATCTGGCAAACTTGATGTACATTGTGTAGCCTAGGAAACCCTACTCCAATCTGGCAAATTTGATGTACATTGTGTAGCCTAGGAAACCCTACCCCAATCTGGCAAACTTGATGTACATTGTGTAGCCTAGGAAACCCTACTCCAATCTGGCAAACTTGATGTACATTGTGTAGCCTAGGAAACCCTACCCCAATCTGGCAAACTTGATGTACATTGTGTAGCCTAGGAAACCCTACCCCAATCTGGCAAACTTGATGTACATTGTGTAGCCTAGGAAACCCTACCCCAATCTGGCAAACTTGATGTACATTGTGTACCAATCTGGCAAACTTGATGTACATTGTGTAGCCTAGGAAACCCTACCCCAATCTGGCAAACTTGATGTACATTGTGTAGCCTAGGAAACCCTACCCCAATCTGGCAAACTTGATGTACATTGTGTAGCCTAGGAAACCCTACTCCAATCTGGCAAACTTGATGTACATTGTGTAGCCTAGGAAACCCTACCCCAATCTGGCAAACTTGATGTACATTGTGTAGCCTAGGAAACCCTACCCCAATCTGGCAAACTTGATGTACATTGTGTAGCCTAGGAAACCCTACCCCAATCTGGCAAACTTGATGCACATTGTGTAGCCTAGGAAACCCTACTCCAGCCTGGCAAACTTGATGTACACTGTGTAGCCTAGGAAACCCTACTCCAATCTGGCAAACTTGATCTTCAATGTGTATTCCGTGTAGCACCTTTGGAGTTCGTCAAACTTTGTGTACAACCCTTTTTTTAAGATCATCGGTATAGGAAAGAGCGCATTTCCAAAGTTTCCTCTCCTTAGTCATACAATCAAGACTCACTTTACTTATGCTCGTTAAATAAACACAGTTCAAAGGAAATCAACCTAAACAGTTGAAATGAACTTTATTTATTTATTTAGCTAATTGTTTGTTTACGATTCAACACGAAGTTTCAGAAACCGGCGCGCCATCATATTTTTATGAGATGCATGGTTTCGGTATCCATGGTGACTGTAATAAATCTCTTCCGAAATAATCCAAAGCATTTAACAAAAAAAAGTTAAATACGATAAAAACGTGGGGGAAACATTAAACAAAGATAGGAAACAATAGCAAAGCGGGATCTGCAATCTTTAATGAACATTATAATTGGATAGAGTTTGTCATTTCTCAGACCGGAAAACATGAAAGTGCACTACGTAATGTTACTATTTTTAGAATGTTGGACAAATATTTCTTAAAGCCTATTCCACCAACAAGATGCTACTGCATCCATACAAGTGTTTAGATAGACTGTGGGCACAAAAAAAAAAAAACTAGTCTGCTACAGGCGTGAACCCATCTTTTACATTTTTCTAAATCTTTGTGAGTTTTAGGAAAGGAATAATATCTTAGACCCTGAATGTGCGGACGATCCTTATAAATCTAGAGTCTACATGTGCGGTATGCGCAGTGAAGTCCCATTTCACAAAATGTATATTCTTGAATATAGCTAGATGTAGCAGTAAAAAAAAAATTGTAAAATATTTCGTAGAAAGTAGTTGTAAACAATTTTTGATTTAGGTCAAGTGCCACTTCCCTAACATAGAAGTACTGAGAAGAGTTCGACATTTTGTCCGTCTTGAGTACCCGGATGATGACAGCCGTTATATTAAAAGATTTCAGACATGAAATGAAAAGCCCTATATAATTGGCACAATGTCTTCTCTCTCTCTATTTCTCTCTCTCTCCCTCTCTCTCTCTCTCTCTCTCTCTCTCTCTCTCTCTCTCTCTCTATATATATATATATATATATATATATATATATATATATATATATATATATATATACAAACTATAATTTATATATTTTTTATATNCTGACGAAATAAATGACGTACTAACTAAACAACTGCCGCTAAATGATCACATGCCAACTAAACTAAGTGCCGCCAACAGTGTCTCTCAATAACTGCGATACGGATGCAGCTTCCGGGCCCCAGTTCTGTGCCGGAGCCGCGACGACGCAAACAGAAGAACGTGGGTGGGGGTGGGGGGTGGGGGGGTGGGTATCAATCATTATTGGGAGACAGCGTTGAACCGCAGCCTTCACTCACGCGGCTATAAAGGGCTACCTTGAGAAAAGTCTGTCTGCGGTGTCTTCCCGGCTCCATTACCTCAGAGCTGGGATCGAAGGCCTCTTTGATGGCCTGCCAGCCGTACAGGAACGACTTGGGGGTGGGGATCATGTTAAACGGGACGGGGAGGGTACTTCCGTCGTCCATGTAATTGAGCCACAGCTTGGTGCGGGCGAATTTCCACTCCACGTCACAATCGGTCTGCGAGGGGGGTGGGGAGGGGGCGGGTATTAGAATAAACATTCATGGAAATTTTGTTCTATATCATGTCTATATATGGTGAAAAACTATAAATGATCTCTTTATCTCATACACGTTGTCAGCCAAACATTCAACGGCTCTTTGCCACTTGTTTTTTTTATAGAAGAATGAGAATATTTATAGAGAAAAGATAAAATATTATTGTTAAAGTGGTTTATAGCAGAGCGTAGAAACACAGACACACACATACGCGCACACACACACACACGCACGCACGCACGCACGCGCACACACACACACAACCCCCCCCCCCCCCCCCAAACAAAAAAAAATCCCCCCCACCCCACCCCCCCCACTAACAATCTTTTGCTGTAGCTTTTCACCCGCATCTTTCAAGACTGTTATCAGGGTTATAACAATTATTAGTTGATAAATATAGACATTTGTTGTAAATCATAAGTGAAATAAATCAATTTGTAAAGAAAATTAATCGTTTGAGTAATAGATCCCCCCCCCCACACACACACACAATAGCTGACCCAATTGCTCTCATTTTTCTTCCGAAATAAACCGAAGCATACCATCGGACTCACCTGGATGTCCTCAAAGGAGTGGGACATCATAGCGATCAGCATGTTGATGAGGACGATGATGATGACCACGTGGTAGATGCCAAACAGGTACATGCCGACGGTCTCCACGAGGGACGTGCTGTTCTCCAGCTGGGGGTTGTCCGGCGTGTACAGCAGGGGACCCGCCGTCCCGTCTGCGAATCAACCATAAACCAAAAGAAAATAGCAAAGAGCTTTGACAAAGAAATGTGTTGAACGTATTGTTTAGTTATGTATCTTCTGTTTACGGAATGAAACGAAGGGGCAAGAAGTTGACAAAAAGAGACACCAAGAGCAATAATTGAGAAAGAGAGAGAGAGAGAGAGACGAAAAAGAGAAGGAGAAATAAATATAGAGAGACACAAACAGAGAGAGAGAGAGAGAGACAGAGAGTGAAAGGGAGAGAGAACTTGAGCGAGAAAGTGAGAGAGAAAGAGAGGAATAAATAGAGGAAAAGAAATAAGTCGTAAATGGAAGGGAAACATTTAAGTAAGAACATTTAAGTAAGAACATTTAAGTAAGAACATTTAAGTAAGAACATTTAAGTAAGAACATTTAAGTAAGAACATTTAAGTAAGAACATTTAAGTAAGAACATTTAAGTAAGAACATTTAAACAAGAATTTCTCCTTGAGATCATTGCTTCCTCTTCATTGTGAAACTTTTATTGGAATCCTTACTTTAGTCATTAAAAGAATTAATAACAAAATAATAACAAATTATGAATGTTTTTCATATTACAGCAAATCAAACCCCACAATTCTCTACACACTAAGTGGATCTCTAGCTATTCTATACACAAACAATAACTAAGTGGATCTTTAGCTACAAACTAACAAAATAGATCTGACAATCTGTTCTCTACTCACGAACAAAGATTATCTCCAGCCACTTAAATAAAAAAAAATTATGAACCTTTTCACTTTTCATAAATCATTACATATTTATAATCACAAATGTAACTGAATCCCACAAATGACGTGTGCTTAACCAGGGGCGTCTGTCATGCTAATCCCCCCCCCCCCACTCACACCAGTCTTTGGACTTAGTAAATTCTGCGTGTGAGTTATGTCAGTCATCCAGTCAGGGCATTGGTGTTTGAATTCGGGCGTTCACTATGAACAATAACCATACACAAACGTACAGTTACAAAGTTGTTGGAACATTGCCGACTATTCGATAATAACATCGTTAACAAATGATTAGGTCTACCATTTCGCTGACACTCCAATAATTCGGCATTAAAAAAATCATAGGATCATCAAATTAAGTGATTATTCAAACAATGAATTTTAGAAGGCATATAATTTTTATTTTTATTTTAATTCTTAAACTACAAGTTTTGGTCTGGCAGCTCTATTTAATGGTTAAACGATAAAATATATCGGTGATCTCAAAAAATCTACAATTCCATTTTATTTGGATTTGTGTTCTATTCCCCTCCTAATCTAGAGAGTTAAAATAGAGTTTTAAAAAAATCCCCCCCCCCCCAAAAAAAAGGTGAATATTAATATTTATTATTTTCCACATTAATTTTTGAGAGCTAAACGCAATTAAAAAAAGTAAAAAAAAAAAAAAAAA